AATTTTGGGGAGTTTTGAGGGGATTTTGGGAAGGTTTGGAAGGAATTTTGGGAGGTTTTGAGGGAATTTTTTTGTGTTTTAAGGGAATTTTTTTGGGTTTGAGGAAATTTTTTGGGGGGGTTCTGAGGAAATTTTGGGAACGTTTGGAAGGAATTTTGGGGGCGTTTTGAGGGGATTTTTTGGGGTTCTGAGGAAATGTTTTTGGATTTTGAGGAAATTTTTTGGGGAGTTTTGAGGGGATTTTGGAGAGGTTTGGAAAGAATTTTGGGAGGTTTTGAGGGAATTTTTTTTGGTTTTGAGGAAATTTTTTGTGTTTTGAGGGAATTTTTTGTGTTTTAAGGGAATTTTGGGGGTTTTGGGGAAATTTTGGGGAAATTTTGGGGGAATTTTGGGGCTCACCTGTGGGTTGAGAGCTGCTCTGGGAACGGATCACCCCCATCCAGTCGCTGACCAGGATGGAAGCCAGGCGGCGAAGCTCTGAAAGGGTTAATTAACAATTAATCATTAATTAATCGGTCATTAATCGCTGATTAATCGAGCAAAGGGGGTGGGGAATGTGACCTAGAGGTGGTTTGGGGGGTTTGGAGAGGGGATTTGGGGGATCTGAGAGGAGTTTTTGGGGGGATCTGAGGAGGATTTTGGGGGTTTGGGGGGTCCTTGGTGATTTTTGGGGGGTCCTTGGGGGAATTTGGGGGGTCCCAGGAAGGTTTTGGGGGACCTCAAAGGGGTTTGAGAAGATCTGAGGAGGATTTTGGGTTTCTCAGGGGGATTTTGGGGTTTCTCAGGAGGATTTTGGGGTTTCTCAGGAGGATTTTGGGGTTCTCAGGGGGATTTTGGGGTTTCTCAGGAGGATTTTGGGGTTCTCAGGAGGATTTTGGGCAGTCTGGGGGGTCTCTGTGGGGTTTTCAGTGTCCAAGGGGGTTTTTTGGGGGGTCCCAGGTGGATTTTGGGGGGTCTCTGCTCACCCTCATCATCGCTGGATTTGCTGAGCTGCTTCACCAGCTTGGCCGTGTTGTTCTGCAAAGGAAAACGAGGGGTCAGGAGGGGACAAAAGGGACACAAAAAACACCCAGGGGACNCCAGGGACCCTCAAAGCCGAGCCCAGACCCCCAAACCCGACCCAGGGACCCCCAAAAACGAGCCCAGACCCCTAAACCCGACCCAGGGACCCCCAAAAACGAGCCCAGACCCCTAAACCCGACCCAGGGACCCCCAAAACCGACCCAGGGACCCCCAAAGCCGAGCCCAGGGACCCCCAAAGCCGAGCCCAGGGACCCCCAAAGCCGAGCCCAGGGACCCTCAAAGCCGACCCCAGACCCCCAAAGCTGAGCCCAGGGACCCCCAAAGCCAATCTCAGACCCCCAAACCCGACCCAGGGACCCCCAAAACCGACCCCAGACCCCCAAAGCCGAGCCCAGGGACCCTCAAAGCCGAGCCCAGGGACCCTCAAAGCCGAGCCCAGACCCCCAAAGCCGAGCCCAGGGACCCCCAAAGCCGAGCCCACCTCTGTCTCTTGACGGGCACGGGTTTCAGGCTGTATTTGTCTGATTGTGCCGAGTTCGGTTTCTTCACCGGCGCCAGCGACGGCGTCTCCAGCTCCAGCCCTGAAAGGAAAAAAAAAATAATTTAAAAAGGGTCAGAAACGTCCAAAACAGCCCCAAAATCCCCTCAAATCGCACCAAAACCGAGCCTAAACCAGCTCAGAGTCGTTAAAATCTCAACAAAAGAGTTTGAACGGCTGCAAAGTGCTCGAAACCCGCCCCACATGTTTCTGAAATGTTTCTGAACGAGCCCCAAAGTCGTCACAAATTCTCCCAAAATGGCCCAAATTCAACAAATTCCCTGAAATTCTCACAAAATGTTTCAATTTCATTTTAAACCGGTTTTAAATCTCCAAAAAAAGAGCCTTAAACACCTCTAAAACAGCCCAAACCCACCCCAAATTCCCCCAAAACAACCCAAATTCCACCACAAATTCCCCAAACCCACCCCAAATTCCTTTAAAACCAGTCCTAAATTCCAAAAAAGAGCTTTAAACTCCCCTAAAACAGCCCAAACCCACCCCAAATTCCCCCAAAATAGCCCAAATTCCACCCCAAATTCCCTTAAAACCAGTCCTAAATCCCCTAGGAGAGCCCAAATCCACCCCAAATTCCCCCCAAAACTCACCCCAAATTCCCTTAAAACCAGTCCTAAATCTCCCAAAAACAGCCCTAAACTCCCCTAAAACAGCCCAAATCCACCTCAAATTCCCAAAACTCACCCCAAATTCCTTTAAAACCAATCCTAAATCCCCAAAAAGAGTCCTGAACTCCCCTAAAACAACCCAAA